ATATTTAGGCAGAGACTAAGCAGAGAAACCTTCTATTTATGACCACGCTGTTTTTCTTTACTAAAAAGAGGTCTATTGACCTCCATTGGATCCTGCCTGGGGTATAGTGGGCAGATGTCTGTCAGTAGAAGTAGATTCCAGTGACTGAGGGCATGAATGAATAATCGTTTTGCATCTCGGGCTGAAGAAGATGGACCAGAGCAGACACTGGAAGCAATGGTAGGACAGAGACAGGAGTAGAAGTTGATTTGTCAACTCTTTTATCCACAGAGTGCAAAAGACTCTTCAAATGGTGTGAGAAAGACTCTGAAGGAGGCATGGAAAGGTCCATCTGCACTCTCACAGTAGCAGTGGAGAGTAGTGCAGTGGAATATGTCCAAGATGGAGTAGAGGACAATAACTTCTGAGCCTCGGGGTAAGAAACGTTGTTAACAGTTTTTAAACAATGTACCTCTTTCTCCTCAACCCATTTAGGGCAAGAACAATAGCAAGAGGAGTGGTAACCACCACAATTAACACAGCAAGGGTCCAGTTCACACTCGTAGGCATCATGGTTTTTGCCACCACAATGAGCACACATCACAGAACCAAGAGAAGATGCCTTTGAATGACCAAACTGTTGACACTGGCAACATCTGAGAGGGTTAGGAATATATGGTTATACCTTACAGGTGGATGTGGCAATGTAAACGTCAAAATAAGACCATTGGTAGGCATCATAATTCCTTTTTTATGAGTGGAGATATATGTCGCACTGCAGAAACTCCTTGGCTGGAGAAAATGCGACAGTCTCCAACTCAGGGATGTTCTTCAAATCCCTGTCAACAATAACTCCTTGTGAGGAATTCAAAGTAGCATGGGGAGTAACCTCAATGGGTATATCCCCAATGGTCTTTGAATTCAGGAGGAGTTTGCTGTGTTTTGGTGTGGATGTTTCCATGAAGACTTCTCCAGAATGTAGCTTCTTAACTGACTTTGGAGAGCCAGCAAACCCCTATAATCCATTCTGAATACAAACGGGAAACATTTGCCATAAAGATTTGCCTGAAATAGAATGCAAGATCAGAAAACGAGGTACAGGTTCAGAATGGGTTGAAGATTGCTGGTCAGTTTTCAAGACGTGGTCATTTACCAATTAGCTGTATTTTTAATTCTTTTTTTTTAGGATTTGGGGGATCCGTAATAAAAGGAGAAAGATTCAGTACCCACTGACCTCACCCACCATCGGATCCTATGAGGGGATGCACGACAATGCCAAATAAGGACCCTGGAACATATAGAAAATGGGCCAGAAAAGGAGTTTTATGGTTAAGAAAGAGAGAGCAAGACTGAGTGCCATCCTGGCAATTGATATAGGATATTACAGTTGTTGTCTATATGAATCATTACCAAATGGCTTTGTATCAATAGAAGGAAATAATCCAAGCTAAAAAAAAACTGCTAAAAGTTCTGAGAAGTTGATATGAAGGAGTTGAGACAAGTGCACCACCCCATCAGGGAAGCATGTGTCAAAAGATGAAGATCTGGATAAGAGGGATGAAGAGTAATACCCTTTGTGGTATTGGTTCTGTTGAGCCACCAGGTGAAATCATCATGTAAGGAAAGAGGAAGATGAATAAGGGAGGAAAAGTGTTCCTGAGAGAATTTCCATTGATTGTGTAAAGTCTACTGTAAAATATGAGCATACTGTGAGCATGTCTAAAGGGAATAAGGGGTTCCACAGAAGCTCATGTCCCTAAAAGGAAGAGAATCTCCTCTGCAGGAAGAGAAGAAGAGGATAAAGTTGTGGAAACCAAACTTTCCATGGTCCACAAATAAAGCAGAGAAGGCTGAGCCCTGCTGAGATGGGAACTAAAGAACACACACAAGCGAACTAGATATTAAGTGGGTATGAGGTGAGACTCCTCCAGCTTGACTAACCAACCAAGAAGAGCCACTTCCCAAAGATGGGGAAAAGTATGCTCTTAAGAGACTCGCTGGGAAACAGCCAAAAGAAGCCAGTCATCCATATATGGCAAAACCACAATCTAAACCACGAATGTGATGAGAAAAAGCATGCACTAGTTGACAAACAACATACAGGGCCAATGACAAGCCAAAAAAGAGAACACAGAACTCATAAACCTGACATCAATGAAAAAACCAAAGATAAACTCTGGATGTTGGGGAAATGGGAGTGTGAAGATACACATCAAAGCCCCAGAGCAAACAATTACTGGAGGGTGCAAAAAACTCTTCATGGTAAACCAAGGACGGTTGAGAAATTGATTGAGATGTGAAAAATATATTATGGGATGCCAATCCACAGTTTTTTTGGAAAGAATAAACAGACAGGGATGAAATCCTGGAGAAGAATGAGAAACTCATTTGAAGTGTCCTTGGCCAACAAGTCTGGCATCCCCCCCTGAGAGATGCTGGCAAGATACAGGATCCCTTGGAAGAGGAAAATGAATGATAACATGAGACAAGGAATGAAGAAAGGAAAGATAAAAGGTAAGTCTCTTTGATAAAACGATCAGTCTCAAGCAGAAGAAAGATCCACAGGGCCTAAAGAAATGTCACCAACAAGATTGTCAGCACTCAGCACTGAAATCTATGCACAGAGGTGGAATGGTTGGGAGCATGGGAGCAGAGAAATGGGAGAAAGGGGCAGGAAGAGGACAGGATGCAAAAGGACAGAAGACTGCAGTGGGAAACGAAGGAGATTGGGAAAAACATGAAACAAGGAAGGACGAGAAAGAATGTTGATGTACAGCCTTAACCCACAACTTCAGAGAATACAATACTTCACCAAAAACACCTTGGTGGCATAAATGAGCCCAATGAAAGTCTCTGAGATAAGAGAGAAGCAAACGTACTTGAGTAAGAAGGGCAACCCTCCATAACAAATCCCAGCAACAGAGCAACAAGTCAAAAGGGACAAAGTTGAGGAAGAACGTACCATAGTAGAGAAGATAAGGGAATAATCATCTGCTGAAAACCCCTCAGGGGAACAGTAAATAGCCTCAGATGGAAAATGAATGGCAAAAAGATAATGCAACAGGGTAGTAAGGGTAAGACAAAGGTGTGCAAATTGGGCTTGAGAAAATTGAACAGAAGACAGAGGATTTCAACCCCAAGCCTGAAGAAGAGACTCCAGAGTTTGGGAATCCAAGAAAGGGAATTGTGCCTGATGATATGCCAAGGCATATCTGTCATCCAGGCATGTAAGCACCTGAGTGAAGTTGAAATAAAAATTGTTCAATATAAATTTGAATATCTGGACATGGAGGAAAAACATAATAGTCAGAAGAAAGGAAGAAGTGAAGGAGAAGAATCATACGATACAGGAGAGAAAGAGAGAGAGAGAAAAGTAACATACTTAAAAGACAAAGAAGGTGTACGTGGGTCCAAGGCAGTATTGGTAGAACAGCTATCAAAAGCAGGTGGTGGTAAAATATTGTCAAAATTGTCATCATCATGGACGGGATTCCTAGGAGGAGTTATACCAGTTTCAGGTTCAGAAGAAGGCCCAGATGACATGAAAGACTCCATCACACAATAGCATCACTTACTCAACAGATAAAGAGAAACCCGATGCCACTGTAGTTGTTTGTACAGCATGAACAACATCTTGTTGTCCCACACCACACAAAGTGAAAGTTACTTTCACGTGTAAATTCATAATATTGTAATAAAAGTCCACCAAATCTGCTGGTGCAGAAATTTTGATAACTAAAATTCAAAGTTATCCTTCCACAAGAGTGGGTGTTTTTTTGTAGATACTTCCACAATAAACACCAATATCAATAAAGCTCATGAGCACGAGTGCCAAAATGAGAAGTGATGATTGTACAATCAGTATAGAGGGAGTCAAATCTGCTAGGAAGCCATGTTGCATTCCTATTGGTGGAGGGTTGTCACATGCTCAATTGCATGCAACGATGCTGCAATATCATGTGTAAATATATGAGTTTAGGTCGGAGCCTCAAAGTTATTGGTGAGCAAAAAAGTTCACACATAGAGAGCAGCACTAAGTCAAGAAAGCTATATGTGAAGAGAGGTTACTGTTGTATTGGAGTTTAATGGAAGTTGAGTGGAAAATTTGCTTTCATTGAAATGAAAACTGCTTGACTGTTATGGGCTCATATAGTAAAGGGTGATTTTATGCTTAGAGATGTGTATGATCTAAGAAAATTGAAAGGTTCTTTAGTGTTAAAATTAGAAGGAACCTGTGTAGTAGCAGAGGAGTGAAAAGGTTGTTTGAGGTGTGTGGAAGTTTCTGCAAGAGTGCTAGGGGGAACAAGAGATAAAAATAGTGTCTGGAATTTGAAAAGAGATGTGCATACAACTGCAGATTCTTTGAGCTGCAGGGTACTGGAAGAAGTATGCTTCTGCATCGAGAGTTGGGTATCAGAAGAGATAGAGGAAGGTCTAGAAGTAGAGAAATTTGAGGTGTTTAGGTTTAATTGTACAGTGTTAGTCTGCAGACAAGGTAAAATTCAGTTAGCAAAAAAAGCAGCAAAAGTTACAGGAAAGGGAAAAGATTCTTTGGTAATAAAGGTGTAGGCCATCTCTTGCTAAGAATTACTTCGTAATCCCAGATGTGAAGTTAGTGTTGTAAAAGAAAGCAAGGCATGAATATGTAGACAGAGGTTGCATACAAGAGTGTTAAACTTCTCTTTCTGAGAGAAATCAGTATGTCTCTTGAAATCGTGGTACATAATACTGGAGAAATTGACCTGGTGAGTCAAAGTATGAGACAGTAAGGTTTGTAAGTTGTTTGAACAATGATAAGCAGACTTTAAGTTTGAGGTCATTAGTCAAACAGGAAGGATCAGATATTTTACATACTGTGGTACTGAAGTTATAGAATCCAAAAGATCAAGTGAAATAGGTCCAGTGAGTGAGAGATTGAATTAAAACATGGTCGTTTTCAAGGTAAACAAGGTGTTGGTAAAGGTATTTGATTATGAAGTCTCCAAAAATAAAAATGGAAGGTGAAAGAAGAGGTTACTTACCTTTGGTAAAAATCTGGTCTGTAGTCCACAAGTGGAATATCAGCCAAGATGAAAGAATTAGCATAAAGGATCACCAAAAAATCAATTAGATTTCAAAAGACCCCAAAACTCGAGTGTTTTCAAATATTAATTGACTATTTTTCTTCATGAGTAAAAAGGGTAAAGAGTGTGGGGTAATGAATATGGAAAAGATGCACACATCACATGAGCAGGAAGTGTTTGTTGAGGTAGCTGTGAAAGCCAACCAATCACAATTAAAGAAATGTGTGTTATTAAGCAATGGAAATGCTGAGAGTGAATGTTTATTTCAAGGTAAACTATTCAAGTACGATGAAGGTGAAAAGCATTATATACTTATATATTATGGTAATAATAACCATCCTCTAATATATAGAGAAAAAATAGCTTATTTAAAAGAGCATAAGCACTTGATTTTAGACACCAAACAATAAAATAACATAATAAAATAAAAACGTGACAAGAGGGAATCCTCGCTAGCAACAGCACCTGAAATTCTTTCAGGCAGGATTAGAGTAAATTAATATTTGTGTGTGCCAGCAATACCAAATCGGTCAAGAGATGATGGACCTATGAGCTTAAAGTTTGTACATGAAAAAAACTCAGAACCATTCTATGAGCTGCAGCTAAAATTTAAAATGAAAGTACGTATAATTATGAAATACATATCTTCAATTAGACTCTTGTTCTAAGTTAAAGTATAGTTCTTCGGAGGCACAAGATGAACCTTACAATAGATAAAATGTTACAAAAATCAACATCATTACACCATAATTAACATGAAGTATAATGTACATGATAATACCAATGTGTAACCTGTTTGTGTGTCTATATGCATATATACATAAAATTTGAAAAATTGTTAAAAATTAGAAACAAGGGTAAATGACATGAACTGAAATAAATGGATTATTTTGAGAAAAGGAAAAAATAGTCTGGAAACATCTTAATATCTAAATTTAAAATATCTATTAAAGAGGCTGGAGAAGGTCTTAGGTTATTCTGACCAGTGGTGGTAAAGTTGGGTTAAACATTTGGGTCAAATGTAAAAATCCTTTCCAGCGTGAAAGTGATATTCAGATTTAATAGTTTATTATCCTTTTAGATATACTAATTCAGATTATATGTTTATTGCATCTACTAACAAAAGGAGCTTCAAATTGTCTGCACCTAATTTTAAAAGATGTGTACTTCATGTTTAAGGAAATAAGTTTTAGTTTAAAGGCTAAATTGTATAGATTACACGTGCAATGTGAAAACTGATAAATGGTGGATAGCAAATACTTTAATATACCACAAGCTTTTCTTAGTTCTGGAAAAACATGAATTACTCTTTAAATTGAAAATAATTATATACAAATTTTAATTGGTTGAATCATTACTTTTTTTTCACTTCTTGTTACATTCTATATTTATCCTTGTGAAAACTTTTTTTTAACTATTCTGTGCCTATCACTAGTTTATCACTTAAGTCCCTTTTTTAGCTTTTCACACCCAACAACTTATTTAACAGATTGCTTTAGTATCATTCAAAAGATTTATATCATGCAACAAAAAAGTTCTCTCAGCTTTCAGCTATCTGTACATGAATAAAAAAAAAGATGCTGTATGGAAATAATATCTTTAAAATGCAAAGATCGTGAGATTGCTCACCCTATATTGCATGAAAATGAACTGCATCAGAGTATAGTCAGAGTTTACAATGTCACTAACTGTCATACAAAACCAGACAGTGTCAAAACAGCACAATGCCTATAAACGTACAGGCAGTCATAGTATTCCTAGAAGTACTGGGGTGAATCTACTCATAGCTTTTAGTACAGGAATATTACATGGCAAACATATCAAAATATAAGTTTTGGCTGATTTGGTTATTCTATATGGTAGATTGAGGCTAAATTTAATTATACTTGTCATTAAACATTAGTATTAAGTTTATTATATTTTTAACACTACATTCTTTATATAGTCTATTATTTATTTTCAAGAATTGGAAGAATGTATAATAACTATTTCTAACACACTATTTTTGATAAATCCATTGTCAACAACAAATTTTGCTCAATGAGGTTAATATACTATATTTTAATATTAAGTGAGTATTAAAAAAACATCTACTCACCAGACCAGTACTTTCACTAACTCCATTCATTTTTATTTTTGTTAGAAACCTACATATGGGAGGTTCTTCTGGATACTGTGAGCCACATTCTAGCTTTAAACTGTAAATCCTATTTTCATATGGTGTCTAAAATATAAAATAAAAATATATGCTTATACAAGGTACCATTTTTTCATTGTAAAGCTAGCTTTAAATCCCTGTCGGTCTGAATTTCAAAACATTAAAATCTAGGAATGACAGTGAAATTAAACATTCAAATACTGTATTACATTAATGGAAGGCCAGTGTGGTTATACGTATTCACTGTTTTTCAAAGCTCTCACTTTAAAAGTAAATTTCAAATGAAATATATAACAGGAAGGTAGGAGTCAGAAAACACCCATTTTTAATAAACTTTAATACTCACCCTCTATGACGTATGCACAAACAAGAAAAACAATATTCAAATTATGTCATAATGCAGTTGTATCATGTAAATCATTTCTTGTGAAAAGTTTTATTGATAACATAGTACTGTACTATAGCATAATTAATGATATAAACCTTGGTCACACCTAGCTTTACACAATCTAATCAAATTGAATGTTATGGAGGCTCCAAAATAATTCAAATAACTGGTAACCAGTACAAATAAAGATTAAGTGAGAAAATAAGAGTTTTTAGTCCACCTCATATTCAATGATCGAAGTTCAATACGGATAAGCTTTCAGAAATTAGGAGTGATCCCACACCAACCAGGGAGGCCAAACTTACGAGATACCTTTTGAAGATAAAAAAAAGAAGAAAAACAAGTGCATCATGTGGAAGAAATTTACCAAAATATCAGAACAATAGGCTTAAAGTGTGGGATTTTATATGGGCTTCCTAAGGTTCACAAAGAGAAATGTCTGGTTTGATGAACTGTTTCTAGTGTAGACATATATAATCAACCATCAGCAAGACTTTTGACCATTTTTTAAAAGTTTTTACAAAATGAATATTCTGTTAAGGATACTTTTGAGATTAATATTTTCCAACACTGAAAATGTGTTTCTGATAGATACTTACCTCTCTCACATATAGTTTTCCCGATTCAGTGTTGCCCTCCATATGTGAACTTTTTCACTCACCATTAGTCTTGAGACTCGCATCTAAAATCATGTGTTTCACATGATAATGCTATGCTGTTGTATGGAGATGAGCATGTGACACCCCTCCACCAACAGGAGTGTGATACACCCTACATTCTGATTCTGTAATTATTACTTTGAGAGTAGCCAAAAAAAAAGGACAGGTGGGAAGTATGATTAGAGGTAAGTGTATATTGGAAATACATTTTCAGTGTTGAAAAATGTTAACTTCTGATATGATACATTACCTCTGATTACATACAGCTAGAATCCCACTTTGAAGTGGTGGAGGGACCAATACAAAAGTTACCTAGATGAGCCCCCTTCAGGAAGTGCCCAAAGGAAATCCATGGAATGCAAAATCCTATAACAATGAACAGTATAGATTGCAATTCATCTGAATGAGGGTTCACTCTTCACCCATGTGAATAATAAGGTTACAAAATCTGCAGGTGCAGAAATGTAGTAAACAAAATCTAAATTTAATATTTCCATAACAGTTAGGGTTTTTGTAGATACTTCCACAAAAAACACCTATATCTCAAAAGCTCACAAGTGAAAAAATGACACATCTTCATAAACTAGTGCCATATATCGAGAAGTGATGATTGTTGAACAATCAGTGAAGAGGGAGTTGGCTGCACAAGGAGGGTGTGTCACACTCCTATTGGTGGAGGGTTGTCACATGCTCACTTGCATGCAACAATGCATGAACATATCATATGAAACATGACTTTAGGTGGCTACTGGCAAGCAAAAAGTTTACATATAGAGTGCAGCACTTAATCAGGAAAGCTACATGTAAGTGAATGTTATGTATCATATCAGAATTTGTGAAATATATTGAAACAGACACAGTTTAATGATGATGTTCATTGTACTAATTATGATAGTGTCATTGCTTTCAAACATACCTATGGACAAAACCATCGATTGTTCTAACTCTGTGTTTGCTGAGAATCAAACTGTACTGGATATAACTAAAAATGTTTCTAAAACACTTAAATTCTGTAATGATACAATCAAATTTCATATTTATTGGTAAAAATATTTAAATGGATTGGCTACTGAGCTAGCTAGCCTTTTCAAGCACTTCTGTGAAAAAGTTTGGTTGCAATGCTGAAAATTTTAATAGAATAATCCACATAAAAACTGAAAAACTAAATAACAAATTTGCTGTTATTTTAGATGTTACAAATAAAACTGTTATTTTAAGTCCAGTGGTTCTTAAAGTGTGGTCCACGATAATCCTCCAAGTGGTAATGGACTGATCCAAACTGCAAGTTAGTGATGAGTTTTTTTTGTAGTGGCAAGTAAAAGGAAGTGGGTTAGGACTGGTAGGTGGTCTGTGAGTTCATTTGCCCTGCTGAAGTGGTCCACAGACGAAAAAGTTTGAGAATCGTTGCTTTAGTCTTACCATACTTAGCACTACTTCATCTGTGATCAAGAAGAAAGTTATCAAATAACAATATCTGCAAGTTCAGTTAGAATGTCTTGGTTAAAAGGACTTTTCAACTTTAAATAAAAATAAATAACATTCATTGAATTATGCACTAATGGTATACGAGTCCACATTCCCAAAGCGGAACCAGGGATATACTAGAAGACTCTGCAATCAAATAAAATAATACTGTAAGACTAAAACTTATAACACCAACAGTATTATCAACAATTTTCTATGATGTTGTGACTACCAGTTTCTTCCAAGTCATTCTCCAATTCCTGGAGAATTCCACCTTAGAATGCTACAATTGTTTGCCATTAACTCTTTCAACATGGGCTCGGTCCCTGGGCCTGACTTCATAACCATTTTGTGCTTGTTATATTTTTCATGGTACAACTTTTAAATTGGTGTACGTTAACAAAATTTGGCAGATTTTCATACATAAAATATAATTTTTTATTAAATCTTAAGGTTTGTTATGCAATGTTTTTCTCGTGCC